GGTCGAGGTGAAGTTGCAGATGAAGGAAAACTAGGATGGACACAGTACTTTCAAAAAACCAGGGATGTGAAAAACTACGAAAAGTTGTTGCGTTGTTGGGTGGTGATTCGACAAAAAAGATAAATTTGGTTTCATCCTCAGCAGACATTGTAAAATTGAAATATGCCCCAATTACTTCTTGTAACGTCGAACGCAGTATAGTCATAAGTAATATTACGGCACATCGAGTGATATTTAGTGCGACTATTTCACGAAATAACACATTACATGAATCGAATGGATAATTAAAATTACAGGAATTACAAAATAGAGAAATACTACACAAAACTGCTACCTGATTGAGTAAACTTCCATTAAGCGTTCAGAGTTACCACTGCCTTCTGGATTATCATACATATATCCAAGGAAAATACGAATAATAGTTTAATGCAGAAAATGAATTCCACTATTTTTCAATTTTATGGTAGAAAAATCTTTCATAAAACAATTACAACAAAACTGCTTACGAGAATATTTATTAAGAACACAATTATCAAATTTGTAGGAAGTTGAGTTTTCCATGTTTTGGGATTCTACCGAAGTATTTGAATTGGAAGACGTAATAGAAGCTGTAATAGCAGTAGGATTCAATTTCGAATATAATGAACATATGATTGTACTAATAAAAGGTATTTACCCGTATAATTTTGGCTGTAAGTTTCTACATAGTTTTGATAACATACTCCTTGTATTCATCACACAATCTCCACATATTAATTGCCCAATCTTTGAAAATGTGTGTAATTTCATTTGTAGTTTACAAGATCAATTTTCTGTATTCATATTACCACCAGTCCATATTAAACTCCGTATTTTGATAAAAATAACTACGTATTTATTTAAATATTTCATATATTTTTAGTTCATACAAATACTTTCCCTAATGACTTTTACATGTTTGTTAATAAGGGGTCTAATGAGTACTAACTGATGGTCTCGTATAGTTGTAAATTATTTGTGAGATTTCACAATATGATTACCAATTTTCCGTTTCGAAAAGAGTACATATCCTATTGTTGGATATTCTTGATACGAAAAGTATTTCTGATGAGTTAACAATAGTGGCAATTTCGACAATATTCTGCAATTCTAATACCTTCCTGTGTTTCTATGACGATGGATTGGTATTTAGTGAGATACTATTCATTTTGTAAATAAGATGCTAGATGCTAGGTCGATAATGAATAAGAGTTGCGTACGTTGTTACGATTGTTTACTTCAGTAGAGATGGAGGTTATGTTCACTTGCTGTCGTTTTGCCCAGCGACGAGACCGCAACAGGGCTTGGCTCGGCTGCAGTTCAGTCTTCAGTATTTTGGTAGTTATTTACACTTCCAATATACGAGGAAGGTACAGTTCAATACACACCAAACAATTTTCAATCTTGCAAAGCACCACCTTCGCCACGGTCTCCTCAACATAAAAAAGGAGATTTGCCAGCTTGAACTATGTTTGACTAAAAGTATTCAAAAGTAGCTATGTTGTGACTCCATCCAATTCTCTTTCTTCTCCTTGTAAAATTTCCAGTAAGTTCTGCAGGATATATTCTTACATTATTCTATTATACTGCGTGATAAATTAGCCTGATCATTCCATATAAGACCGAAAGTACCTTTACCAATCACACACATTTAACTACGAACAATTTAAAATTATTGAATGCAAAATATACAATCATTCACTCAGAAGTCAATATATACTATATTTCTAAACCACTTACCCCTTAGCGATATCTCCAGAAAATGTAAACGTGATTTTTGATGTATTGCCAATCTTCGTTCTGCAGACCACGAACAACCAATGTTACATTTATAAAACGATTCCAGCTAATGATGAAACTACGAAGACTAATTTTTCATACTATATTATTCTCTCAATATTCTACACTACCACCACTATATTCAGCACAATGATCATTTGTAAATTATAAGTAACTGTTCTATAGGCGACATATTTGTTTACTTCCATCGTCACCAAGCTGAGCTGTGCTGCCTTCACGGAGAAGGGGTCGCACTATGTCTGGAGGGGTGGGAGGGGAAGGCCCGCGTTCATTGGCGATCGCTGTGTGGCACGCGGGCAGCACTGCCCGTTGCTGCTCTGCTGGCGCCTATGCTACTGACACAACAACTAACATACCATCTCCATTATTCCACAATAATCTGTATTCAAAATTATATAAATAACCAACTGAGGAATTTTATCCTACTCCGCCTCGACATACCCCCTGCTAAACAACCTGCACCTCCTTCGCCATTACGTAAACCCATTAAACAAAACAGACAAGACAGAATTTCCGAATTTCAGAAGACCGATTCCAAGAACACCAACAATTCCCCTCTTGATCTCTCATTGTGCTCCGCAAGATTTGATATTGTTGGGTGTATACTCAACTGCATCTTCGTCATATATTATAAGTGTAATTAACTACTATGTTACGCCGCATTACGTTCGACTTCGATAAAGTAAAATTTCATGAGAGAAAATTGCCTTATTTCATTCAAAATTTCGCGAAAACTATTCATATTTTCGTAAAAAATTGTACGTAACCTTATTTCAAAGTCTGTTTTTGAAGAACAGATTTAATTCAAGATAAAATCTCCATGTTCAATACTGTAGTTCTAGGAACTCACAGAAAAAAAATTGAACTTTTGTAATTTTCGAAAAAATACGGATATCTACGAAAATAACACTGCACTATTCTTTGAAGCCTTCTTCATGCTATAAGATAACAAATTTTAATTTAAAAAATGGAGCTAGTTTTGAAAATGTTGAGGCGTAATGTACTGACGCCCCAAAATAAAGATATCCTCTTCAAATTCAGAGGGCTTCGAGTTCATGTCATTAGATTGGAAAATATCAATTTTGGAGAAAATGGTGTGAATGGTTTTGGTGCTAAGTTGATCACAGACGGCCAGTCGTTTTGCCGTTAATCGATTTTCGGTGTCAAGACTCACAAAACATGAATTCAGACTGGAACACATGTTAGAGAACGTAATTTACTTTATATAGGAACAAAATTTATCCAATGTTTTGTTAACAAGACCTGGCTATATAGAGATTTTATGTTGAATATTCCCGATTTCTGTTGCATTATTACAGTTCTTTCTTTTCTTTGGAAGTAAACACGAGAAAGTTAAAATACTACTTTTTCAATATTGTGAAACGTTTTAATCCTTATTTAAGTAAGCATCTCCACGTTGGGCAAGCCATTTTGAAACGTTTTTTCATAGGCATTTATTATAAGCTGCCCACGCTGGGCGTGCCAATTTGAAAGGTTTCTTATTTATGTGTGAAGGTATCTAGACTTTAAACAATTTATTTAATATATTGTTAAATACCTGGCTCCATATTTCTTATGTTTTTGAACAATACTTACGTGAATCAAAGACCATATCGTACAGACTGGGTATTCTCTGAAAATTTATTCTGTCAAAAAAATTACATGATTGGTTTCCGGAATCTACTTACTAATTTAATCGGCCTTTTTTACAATAAAAAATATTTACACCATTTATTGAATTCAGCATTCTTTTAGTTACACTTTTTAGCTGTATTTACAAGTTTTATCTCATGCTATTAATTCCTGTTGAAATGACATTTTGATTTAAACAGTAAATATGTTTAATTTACCAAGACCTTTTAAATTACTATATGATACGAATTATATGCAAAGATCAATTAAATTTGGTTGTCCGGCATTTTCGAAGCGCCATCTTTCCCGCATGGCCGAAACCGAGAGAACAGTTTCATCCACGGTGTTGGCTGAACTTCGGAGCTCTGCAACGGATGTCTTCATGCCTGCGTCGTCGGTTCGAAGATGTCTGCTGAGAGCTGGACGGGTGACACGCATACCACTGCTTCGAATTCCCTTGGCCAGAAACCACCAACGCTTCAGAGAGTAATGGGCACATGAATGGTGTTTGAGTGGTGTGCTGAGTGGCAAAATGAAGTGTTTTCAGACAAGTCCCACTTCAATTTGTAGTACAGCTATGGCCGCGTATGTGGTCGAGTCTACCGTGGTGATCGCAATATGACAGGCTGCATTGTCTCCGCGCCATAGCGGACAAACACCAAGTGTGATGGTTTGGGGCGCCATTGGCTACAATGTACGATCTTGTCTCATACGTATTGAGGGCAAATCAAAACAGCAACCGCTACATTAGGGAGGTTTTAGAGCTGGAGGTACTGCCCCTGCTGCAAGCAGCTCCACATGCCATATTTCATCAGGACAATATTCGACCTCATGAGGCGAGGAATGCGCAAGCTTTCTGCTCAGAACGAAGAAACCATTGTTTCCCGGGCCTGCACGTTGAGCTGACATGTCGCCGATCGAACACGTATGGGATATGATCGGTCGCTCGCTTCTTCGTTCTGGTTCTCCTGCAGTCACTGTCGATGCTTTGTGGTCACGCGCAGAAAATGCGTGGAAGTATGTTCCCCAGCAGCATATCCAGACTCTCTCTGAATCCATGCCCCGACCTCTAGAAGCTCTGTTGGCAGCGCGTGGTGGCCTAACAACGTACTAAATTCTCAACATCAAAATGCAGGTACAATTCTATCATTCTAGTCATTTGTATATTGTGATATTCCGAATCTGTGAAATAAACTTCATTGTAATAGTATATCTACTTCTTCGTGTTGCAATTTTCACAGACACCGGTGCATATTGTAAAATTGTTGGTAAGTATGGTATGAAACTTAAACATTTCAGAAGGCAAGTGGTGCTTGAACGTTATTTAAAATATATACCTCAATATTTTTTACACGAGAGCAAAGCGGAAATTTATGACATTACATTTTGTCACTGTGAGTGCATTCTCGTTAAACTTATTAGATATTAATTTACAGTTTAAAAAAATATTTTCATCATAATTATTTGTTTCCGATGCGCCGCCAGAAGCCGGCCCTGACACAAAACACATGAACAAACAATGAAGCGTGGAGGTGTGTCTGTGATTGCAGAGGATGGTGGCGTACCGGCTGCCCGCGGCGGGGCACTGCTACCTGGAGCGGCTGAAGGAGCTGAAGGCGCTCAACGCCACGGGGGGCGTCCCGGCCACGCGCACGCTCTACGCCTCCCACGTGCAGCTCAGCAAGCGAGAGGTAGGCGCTCCCCAGCATAAAATACTCGTTACAAACGTCTAGGGTATGAAAGACGATCAATGGTGACAACACTTCTCCAAGGAACGTCAGGTGTCAAATTTCATATAACGAAGTGACAATTCGTTATTGCCGTGACTGTCTCTCTTAGGAGAGGAATTCCACAAGGCGAGGCCTTGCGGAATAGCCATTAGGATATTCCACAGGGATGGTCCGCAAATGGACCCCTACTGACAGTCACGTGTTAGTCCTTTCCTTCGTAAGTTCCACTTGCACGAGTAACTGCCGTTCTGTCGTTGAAGTAGCTTCAAAACATTGCATAAAGATTGCCTGAACAACCCAATTTTCGACGTGATTGTGCGCTGGAAAAGGGAGAATTTTCTACAGAAAATCTCTTATTATCCAGCTCTGATAACGAAAAATGGGAGAAATCAATGTCCTTGACGCCGGAAAACCCATTGACTGCAGAACGTCTGTCCATCTACGTGTCTCTGGGCAACGGTAGTGCATTAACTGTTCAGCCTATTTTCTCCAAAGTTGATTTTCCCCAGTCGATTTTTGTATTGAGATCGATCCCCAGAGTTTGAAAAGATATTTTAAATTTTCGGGGGTACTTTTAACAGACTTTTTAAAAAATTTTCTCAAAATTGTCTCCACATTTATTTCTTACACTCAGTCCTCGGATCGCGTAAAAGATGCTTACATGGTGCAATGGCAAATGTTACAATGGTGCAGGTCTGGTTTTTGTAAAAATTGCTGTTTTTTCGAAAATTGCATAGTTCTATTTTTCGGCGTCTTCCTCCAACTAAAATATTGAAGATATAATTTTTTCCTTAATGAAATCTGTTCTTTAATGACCGATCATGAACTGTTATGTACAATTTTTCGTAACTGAGTAGTTTTTGCGTAAATTTGCATTAAATAGGTACAATTTTGAATTTTTAAAATATTTTTTTCTGAAAATTGATCCAAATTTTTCTTTAAATTTTGTCCTCTTATGTATCAAAGAACAATAACAAACTTGCTCTATTCTCTGTATATTCGAAAATTACAAAATTCAAACATTTAGAAATCACAAAATTACAGATAGAGGTTTTTGCTTGAAGCAAAATTTGTTCTAAAAAGGCACCTCTTTTAAAATAGTAATGTATAAGTTTGTAAACAAAACGACTAATTTTGCGTAAATTGTGCTTGAAATTTATGCAATTTATATTTTTAAAAAACATTTTCTCGGGACCTCTTCAAATTGAGAGATAATTGGAAAAAAATATACTTTTGTAATTTGTGAATAAACAAAAGAACACAGTAAAATGGCTATTATATCATGTTATTCAATGCATTTAGCACTATCCGTAAAAAAGTAAAAGAAAATTGAGCCTTTTTTAGAATATCTTGTTGTTTTTTTAAATAATGTTCTAACTTCCCTTCAAATTACGAGAAAACTGCTAATTATTTTTCAAAAAAGTATATAAAATTAACTACAGAAATAAAAATGGAGAGTAAGTTTCAATTAACGAAAATTTTTTTTTCAGTACTGTAGTTGTAGGAAGGCGCCGAAAAAATTCAATTCGTTTTGTAATGATAAAAAATTCAGTAAAACAGAATATAAACTATCTTCATAAGTGCATCGGACAGAGAAGAAAGAAAAAAAACTGAGAAAACTGAAATATACGAAGAAGTAGACAAAAAAGGCATTGAAAAGTAGGCGTTGAAGGGACGATAAGAAGATAAAGGAGAAGAAGATGAAAATGCTGCTGAAAATCACGTTCGCCTGCAAAGCAGTGTGCCCTGCGGCGTTGACCTGAAGTGACCTCGGCGGGAAGGGCCTTGTCTGTCGGTCCGAACGGCTCGCTGCTGCACGTGCGGCGCGGAGGGTGGAGAGGGCCTCCGTGATGAATGAGGTTGCAGCGCAACGAGCACTTAGACTATCAAGAAATTACATTGGATTAAGCGCCCAGTGGATTTGGCCAATTGGTCTTAATGGGCCACGCAACGGAAACTGTTGCCGCGGGGAGCTGCGTTTCGGTGGAATGCATTGCTTTACGCCACATTGTTTTTCTGTATAAGTGTTTTCTTTAGAAAATAGTTTGAGCTTCCTACGTAACCAAATTACGTGATTTATTTTCTTTAAATGAAAGTAGTGAGCCTTAAAAGTTATCACTTGGTCTTATTACCCGTTTTCTTCACTCTAAACATTAAATTTTAAGATCTTGTAATAGGATTAAGGCTTTATCTTGTCTTTCCTCTTCGTCTCCTTCTTTTCCTCTTCGTTCTCTCTTTTTTTCTTCCTTGCCCTCTTGTTTTCCCTCTTTGCCCTCTTGTTTTCCCTCTTCATCCTCTTATTTTTCCTCTTCGTCCTCTTGTTTTTCCTCTTTGCCCTCTTATTTTCCCTCTTCTTCCATCTGTTTTCCCTCTTTGTCCTCTTGTTTTTCTTCCTTATCATATTTTTTCCTCTTCATGTTTTTCCGTTTCATCTTCTTCCTCTTCGTGTCCACTGTCCTCCTGATTTTGCTCTTCCTCTTTGTGTTATTCTTCTTCTTTGTCTTTTTATTCTCTTCGTGTTCTCCATTCTCTTCATCTAGTTATTCTTCTGTGTAGTTTTCCTTCCTCTTCTTCACTTCAATTATGGTATTCTTCTACCCTTGTACTTTCTATTTTCGTTTTCATCTTCTTGTATCTGGATTGGAACCACAGGCTTGTTCAGAGATTAAGAACTGGTCTACTTTTCTACCTACGTGATAGTACTGGTTTGCAATGTATATTTACCATGTCAGTTTTTTTGTGTTTTTTCACAACTTGAAATTGATAATTTGGTAGGTCTTTCGGTGTTTAGCGGGGAGTCCGCCGAAGCCATGTTCGGACAGTCTGTAGAACGTTTGCAATTATGCCTGAGACAATGATTACGAGATGAGCGGATGAAAATTGGCTTACAACATAGAGGTAGTTGTGCAAATCAAAATCGTCATGGCGGAAGGAGTAGAGACTTTCTCTTCATTAAACTTTTTTCTGTAATAGTAAGTTCTCTAATCTAAAGTATTGGACTGATGACGCTGTGTTACTGAGCAAGTTGGGAGGACCATCGTGAGCCTACGGAATGGAGGTTGTTTATCGATATCTCTAAAGTCACTTTAAAAGCCGAGTTTATTAACATTGGAAATGAAAATCCAGCCATTCCTTATGCCACGCAACCCGCATGAGAGAGGCGTATGACGTCATGAAACTTTTGCTTTCGAAAATACAATAGCAACACGGGTTATTCTGTCAGAAAATAAGCGATTTTGCCGCCGCAGCATTATAACACTTTGTCTTTATTACTAAGTATGTAGTGAGGGGTGAACATAAAAATGGTATGTGACGGAAAAACTGTGCTCAAATAATTAATCAGCACTAAGTAAATATATTCGTGTATAAATTAAAAGTTATCATGAAGCAAAACATTTGCAGTTCTATGTAATAGTTATTGTTTGGGGTTATTGTTTCCTTTTAAATGATGATTTTATGCCTCATTTTTTTCGAAATAAAAACAATTGAATGAGTTTAACTTTTTTCGCGGATTCCTGCAACTACAACACTTAGGATTGCCATTGTTTTGTTCAATGAATTTTGTTCTTCTAAAACGCATCTTGAAATGAGGAAACGTACAATGTTTCAAAAATATCAGTAGCATTAGAGTAATGGCACATGCGTCATTTTCGGTGAATTCCCTGAATTGCATGTTTAGAAACGATGTGAGCAAGTGTGTGTTGTTGTATAGAGGAATTACTGTAAGAAGGGACCACTTTGACAGGCAGAACGTCATGAAAGGCGACGACATGGCAAAAGATAGTGGAGAAGCCATTTACCAAAATGAGCCAACTGTAAAGGAGTGCATAGAGCAAACTTGCAGTTTCGTTGCCAGCGCAGGCCACGCAGCAGCTGTCAAAGCGGTCCCTCCCTAGAGCCACTCCTCTGCAGCGGTGGGCGTGGGCGTGGTGCGCAGGTGCTGCGCGTGGCGGGGCCGCGCGTGGCCGCCTTCTGCCGCGGGCTGTCGACGTGGGCGCTGGCGCG